GTACGAATCCCCTCAAACGAAATGAAAGGTAATCTGACAAAAATCCGCTAAGAAATTCTCCGAAAACCAGTATTTATACAAATATTTTAAAAGCTAGCTTTTAGTACGCCTCGGCTATGGCAGTCTGAAAATGTACAAATCTACCGAGCAACTGTTCATCGAAGGAGAATTCTTTGTCTTTTGCGTCCAGCTATTCACGCAGAGGACTTGAAGCATCTGGCGAGTTCAAGAAAATTGCCGGCAGAAGTCGACCATGCTCCTCACTTCAAGCCCATTGACCGAGAAGTTACAGCAAGAAGACACTGGAATCACTTTTCTCCATTAAAGCAATCTATTGATGACGCGTGATTCCTTTAAACAGCGCCATTTTGTTGCGCTTATGCGGATTCACTTTGCGGCTGTCGATGGAAACTCATCGAAAGTGCACCTTCACTTTGGAGACCATCAAGTAGCGACATTTCAGCTCACCAGTCCCGATCATGAGTTGCGCTCCTCCGAAAATACCGCTATGAGTTTTGTCAATATGAGTAGTATGGATCACCTTGTAGAAGAAGGACGACAAAAAGTCGACTTCATCGTAAAAGGTATGAATGTGAACTGGGACTGGGGACAATAGTATGCAGTCTTGACTGAGTTGAACCGTGACAGATCGCAGCAAGGCCTTGATTTATTTCTGTCTTTTTCATGCGGCTGTATAAAGCGGCAATGTGCTCTTTGGAGGATGTACAATCTCGGCACTCGTGTGAATTTAAAGACAGGCTCTTGCCGCCTTTTAGTTGCTTGGAGGGGTTTGTTTAAATAGGTTACCAATTGGAAGACCATGTGATGAGTGGCGGTGCGATTGGCGCAACTCGGTAGCTCTAAGGCAGGAATAAATATTTAATGATCTCATTCGTTGAACATTTTTCTGCTCAATGTCTCTGAAAAGAGTGACGATGAGTAGCAGGTTTGGCAGCAATTCTTTGTGGAGTATGTCGAGTACTCTTCGGCTATACACTGTGTGCATTTTTCGCGCCTCTTTTTCTCCGCGATGGTAACTATTGTGGTGCGGCATGAGGATAACTTCCTCATTCTTTCAGCACAACAAGCTTGCATAACAATCTAAATATCGTCGCAGATACGAAAAGAAACTTGGTTTCAATGAATCTCCTGAGATAACATTGTCAGGGGGACCTTCATTTCGTATGAAAGTGCATGAAGAAGCGATTCGTTGGACGGATGAAACTCGTTGTACGGCAGCAGGTTGACGCAGTCCACGAGACTTTCTGCCTCGTTTCGGGTGACAACATGCTGAGCTTTCGTCCATCAGCACGTTGTCACCCGAAACGAGGCAGGAAGTCCCGTGAATTCGTCTAAAATCCAACCGGCTGAATTACAACGAGTTTCATCCGTCCTCATCTGGTCAGATCGACCAACGAATCTCTTCTTCATGCACTTTCATACGAAATGAAGGTCTTCCTAACTAAATATCTTCATCTAGGCATCTCAGTATCGGTTGGCAGCCAACACACTCAAGACTTAGTGTTGGGCCAGCTACTCGCCGAAAATGAAATGACGTGTCTACTAATCTACCAGCTCAGTGTCCAGCAAAACTTCAATCCTGTCTTGTTTTGGGGTGATTAGCCGCTTAATAAGAAATCTGTTCAGTTTCCATCAGCAGTAGTTGCAACAGATGTTGAGAGAAAGTGGAGGGTTTGCTTAAATCTTGCCGAAGACAAAGTCTGCTAACTTGATAGTGTGAACTAGGCCACCGTTTAATAAGCCGATAGTATGAACAAGAGACTTCTCGAGGCATGAAAATCGCCTCTTCTCACAGCCAGCAGTGAGCTGTGGTCAGATGGTGATG